CCCCCCCCCCCCCCCCCCAGCCCCCGTTTTTCAATCTCTGTTTCAGATTCCAACCAGTAACTTCAATCTTGCCACGCTCTCTTAGGGTTGCCCTAAACTCTAACTCCATGCTGTTGGCCTCACAGAGGGCTGTTTGCGAGGAATTCCATTCCTGCAAGTTAAGACGAGAAGATTTTGGGACCCGAGGTTACCCCTACTTACCACAAAGCAGCACGCAACAGCGAAAGGGTTTAGGGAATCCCAAAGGTAGCTGCAGTTGAAGTGTCCCAACATGAGCTCGGCTGTTAGCATCAAACTCCCTCGACTAAAAAAACACCCTGAACCTCAAACCCTGAAGCCGAAATCCTAGACTCTGAAGCCCAGGCATAACAATGGCTCCAGAATTAATCTCTGCCTTGGGATTTAGGTTTTTAAGACCATGGTGTCATTGTGTGCAGCCCGGCCTGGTGAGTCGATGGGCTCCAATGGCGGCCTTCTTCGAACATGTGCTGCCTGTACTGAACTTGACTTGGTACCCTTGTAGCCAGCACTTATATAGTCATTATAGTAATCCAACAAAATATCAAGTTCAGCTGTTCCTCTGGGACTATAGTAACCGAAAGCTCAAAATCATTTCCAAGTATCCCTAAGCTGCAAAGTGCCAGCGACCAACGACTCCGCATCCGCGCTCACTGCCACGCGCTCGAAATAGGCAAGGCTGACCTTACAGTTCTTACTTGTTTAGGTATTGGGGTTTAGGGTTTAGGGTCTAGGGTTTAGGTTAGGGTTTATGGTTTAGGGTTTGGGGTTAGGGTTTGGGGTCTAGGGTGTAGGTTAGGGTTTATGGTTTAAGGCAGAAATTACCGAAGGCATGGGGCATTGGGCAAAACTGGCAACACAGAAGGACTTGGGGACTTACGTTACGTCGCGTAAGGACTGTCCTAAACCCTAATCCCTACCAGTGACCCAAACCCTACCAAATAGTAGGTTATGACTCAGTTATAAACTCAGTTATGACCTCTTATAAGAGGGTAGAACCTTTAAAACGGTAGGTTTTGGGATCCCCAGGTAGAAGCAGCAGCTCCGAGATCTTCTTGCCAGAGTGCAGCAACAGGGTTCCAGAGAAATGGGGTAGTTCTCTAAGTTACGGTCCCTTTTAGGGTTTAGGGTTTAGGGTTTAGGGTTTAGGGTTTAGGGTTTAGGGTTTAGGGTTTAGGGTTTTTCGATGGGTGCCGTACTGTTTCGGGGACCCTAACAGGGCCCCTGTTTTTTTCAGAACTACCCAACTAAAAACCTGGGACATGGCGATGTGCAATGCAGGGTCGCTTACTATAGCGGCCTAAACAAGTAGAGTAGAAGAGTTTTGGGAAGTAGAGTAGAGTTTTGGGATTATACTTATACGACCACCTAGTCAGTATCCACAAGTAAGAGCAACGATGATACGAAATACTCAAGCTTCTACATTGTAGTATATAGCTATGGCAAGGATTGAACCCTAAGGAAATCATCTTATAGGATCCATGCCTGCAGTGCCGTAAAGTCTTAGTGCCGCCAACTGGCCAACTGTTCAGCATCTTCGCCGACATTGAGGCCTGCCACTATGCCTTGACTGGGGCTTACGGTTTATAGTGTTTAAGGCTCAGCCCAAAAAAGATCGCGAAAAAACCTAAGAGAGGATCCGCAGTGACATCCTTATTACTATTGGGTCGATTGTTACATAGGAGATCGGTGTATATTCGTCAGGAGTTTACATTACATGCAATCACCTTCTTACATTGAAGTTGGAAGGTAGTGCCAAACCGCTGGCAGACGCCCACACCTGACTAGCAAACCCTAAACTTTCCTAAACCCTAAACAGCGGAAAAGGCAAAGCCGAGGCAGGAAACGAACCAAAAACCTGCACCGCAAGTTCCTGACAAACCGCGAACCCTTATCCTAAACCGTAAACCCTAAACCCCAAATCTGCAAAGCTGCGCCCCACCACATCGGGATGGCTGGGATTGAAATGCATTAGGGCCTCCAAGGCCTCTTGCCGCGGAGCTTGAGCTTCAACTCCTTAGCTGCAGTTTAGGGTTTAGCGTTTTAGGGTTTAGGGTTTACGGTTTAGGGTGTGTTGTACCTGGCTCGCCAAGCTTACCTTTGCAGCTAGGGTTTTGGGGTTTAAGTTTAGGTGTTTAGGGTTTATAGAGGTTTCGAGCTATGGCTTAGGGAAACTAGGGGCTTAACAAATATTTAGAACGGGGTTTTGGGGTTGCGAGATTTTGTGGTTGCGATGATTATATTCAGGAGCTCCAAGGAAGCGTATTCTAGTTATTGGGAGTCGATGCTGATGCTGATGCTGATGCTGATGGTGGTGGTGGTGGTGGTGGTGGTGGTGGTGGTGGTGGTGGTGGTGGTGGTGGTGGTGGTGCGGGTGCGGGTGCAGGTGCGGGTGCGGTAAGGGTGGCACTGGCCTTTTGATCTGAGTCTATAATCATCTGGCTTCCAAAAGTCTTGGAATTTCAGAAAAGGACCCTAGACCGAACTGCTAAGCGGAGTGTAAGGAGACCCAGAATCACGCTGCTTCCAACCCTAAACAGTATCATCATGAAAAGACTCCGGTTGAGAAGTCCGGCAAGGCGTTGAGAAGCACAGCAGCAGCTGGGCCGCAGATAAGATTTCGGTGGAACGGGTGGGTTTATTTTTTTTCGAACGAGGGGCAAGGCCAGGGCTTGGGAAGCACACGGCTACAGTTTAGGAGCTCAGCTTTTCGGTGTAGGGTGGTAGGGTGTAAAAAACCTTGTACTAGAACTCTAAACCAGACCCTAAACCCCAGAAGCCCTAAACTCTGAAACGCTAAACCCAAACTGAAAAACCTACCGCCTACATCAGAACCTAAGCTCTGCATGCCGATGAAAAAGAGAACCTTAAACCCTGAACCCGATGAAATAAGAACAGTTCGGATATGGGGAAAAGAGACTTAAGCTACGGAGGGTCGGGCCTCAGTTGGTGCAGGTGCCTTCATGCGATGGGAGTTTGCATATAGGGTTGAATAGGTTTGCATCATAAAGGAAGATCCTGGAGAGTAGACAGGGCTTAATAATCCCTAAACCCTAAACCCTAAACCCTAAACCCTAAACCCTAAACCCTAAACCTAATATTTAAGGCCGAGGGTTTCGGATTTTTGGGTACCGGGCCCGACTAGCGAACCAAACCTGGACCCGAATGTAGGACAGGGTTTAGGGTTTAGGGTTTAGGGTTTAGGGGTTTAGGGGTTTAGGGTTTAGGGGTTTAGGGTTTAGGGTTTAGGGTTTAGGGTTTAGGGATATTATGCTGATGAGGGCTCTACATGACAGTTCTGATATTGACGGCCCTGAATGCGGATCGTAGCTGTTTACTCCTCAATTCTGAGATGCTTTGTAGGTCTTCTTTTATATACATGCATACAGCACAGCAGGGTCCCGTAGTTTCTGAAACGACCAAACCTAAACCCTAAACCCAAAACCCTAAACCCACAATAAAGACATGAATAGAAACTTATTGTTGCTGTTGGCCATCCGGAAACTTATTTTATTTCCGGTCGGGACACAACCTTTCCAAGTTCTATAAACCCAGTTTCCGTTTCAGGCTTAAGCAAGTCAACCCACCTGCGATAGCCCTAGACAAACCGCCCCGCCAGCCACCAGTCCAGCCCCAGAGCCGAGCCGTCACCCCAGCCCACCCCCGGCCCACCAATTCCAAAACCAGTTTGCCAAGGAAAACCTGCTCAAAACTTACCCGAAACCCTTAACAGTTTCTATTAAGCCCTAAACCCAAAGCCCCCCAAACCCTAAACTCGGAATATCCTACCCGAACTCCTCTGGCCAATCGAGTTAATTGCAGAACCCGTCGGGTCCCCGACTCCTCAATCCTAGACTCTGGGTGTAGGGTTCAGGCTGGGGTTTAGAGGTTCTGGGTTTCGGGTTTAGGGGTTTAGGGGTTTAGGGTTTAGGGGATTCGGGTTTCGTGTTTAGGGTTTAGGGGGTTCAGGGCTTAGGGCTAAAAAGCCCTAAACTAGGGTTTAGGGCTGGGTGCTGAGACCCGCACACAGCACAAATCATCTGTCTGGAGCTCAGTAGGGAATGGGGGAATGGATCCCTAAACAGTCCCGTAAGGTCCCTTATAGTAGTCACTATGACCCATTCCCCCATTCCCTACTAAGCACCAGACAGTCATAGAACGAGGCACATTCCTCCTAAACCCTAAACCCCTAAACCCTAAACCCTCAACACCTAAACCCCTAAACGCTAATTCATAGAACGAGGCACATTCCTCATCATCTGAGCTGAAGCCCTGCTGAATGGCGCTAAGCACAGCTTTTCGAAGGTCTGCGGAAGGTGAAACCAGCCTGAGGTTCAGAAAATGTGCGGTTTGAGGTTTTGGGGTTTAGGGTTTAGGGTCCTCAAATACTGGGATAAATAATTACAGTTGCCATTATTCTGGCTTAGGGTTTAGGGTTTAGGGGGTGGCGATTTTGCGTTGAGGGGTCGAAGGGGCTTGCGTTGGCGGTTTAGGGCAATTTCGGGCTACGATTTGAAGGCTTGGGGTTTTAAGGAGTGGAGGCTTTCAGAAAAAAAGTGTGTTTAGAGCTAAGCACTGAAGTCAGAGGGCCATTACCCCTTGATTCCCCAAGAGACCCTAGCTTGGGAATACACTTCAAGAACTCAGGATCCCGTTGCGACTTAAGGTATGTATGTATATATATATATAGAGAGAGAGAGAGTCTATATATTATATAGAGTGTTTCCAAAAACCTACATCCTCATGCGACTCAAGGTATGTATGTATGTATGTATGTATGTATGTATGTATGTATGTATGTATGTATGTATGTACGTATGTGTATATTATATATATATATATATATGAATGGATCAGGTTCCAAAACTTTCTCCAAAAAAGTTGACTAGGTTGGCTCGTTGCAGCCTCTGAACAACATTCGTAAAAAAGACCTGCCTGAGCCCAATAAGGGAATATCAAAGGTCCCCAAAGCCTACCTTGTTGAAACCCTGAAGGACGCGCCTCTCGAAACTCTTCTCAAGCCACCATATCACTCGTAAACAGAAGCCTTCTAAAGGTACCCTAAACCCTAAACCCTAAAACCCTTCTAAAGGTACCTCTACAACGCCAGAAAAGGTGAGCATTTACTGCTAGTCCCATGGTCGGACCTGAATATACGCTCACCAATCCTCGTCCAAAGCGGCCCGATTTAGATCATACCCAAAAATCCAGAATTCATATGGGTAGTTCTCTAAATGAGGGTCCCTTTTAGGTCCTTTTTATAATTTAGAAAACTACCCATATGAACACACCTCAAAGCGTTTTGGGAGCGCCTTGGTGCCAGTGCCTTCAGCGAGCGTTCGGCATCACTCCGCGGACCCAGCACTTTCAGGGCCTCCACTGCCTCGAGCCTGGGGCTGTTGAAAGCTTGTGGGTTTAGGGTTATACTGCCTTAGGGTTTAGGGTTTTGGGACCAGGGTTTATACCGGGGGCTCAGGGCATAGGGTTCACGGTTTATGAAGGCGTGCTGTGGTTATTTTAGTGCGATGCTAAGGCTGTTTTGTTCAGGGCTTTTGAATGCATTGGTTAAAGCCCTGTGCGCTATCTATTCTAGAACTTTGGTTATGTCTCTAACTCTAAACCCTAAACCCTAAACCCTAAACCCCTAAACCCCGAAACCCTCGACCCTAAACCCTAATTCTCTAAACCTCCTTTGGGGCCCTCTTTGGGGTTTCGAACTGACGGTCTTCGGTTGGTTTGATGCGGCTCACGGCTACTAGGATTTCCAGGTACATGAACAGAACAAAGGTCTTTTTAAGGTATTGGTTTAGGGTTTAGGGTATCGTATAATCTAGTTATCTTATTAGCTATCAGCTTACTATTGAGATCAGCCGGTGAGTTTAATGGTTTGTTGGGGTTGGGCGGGTGGGTTTACGACTTTAGGACTTTCCGGGTTTGGCGGCATAGGGCTTCTTAGGACATGTAGGGCATATAGGGAGAGGAGAACAGCGTAAACTGCTACGATTCAACAGAAGACATCCCCTGAGCTTTCGGATTTCCATCATTCAACCTAAAACCTAACCCCTAAAACCCTAAACCCTAATCCCTTAACCCCCTAAACCCTAAACCCTAAACCCTAAACCCTAAACCCTAAACCCTAATCCCCGAATCCCTAAAACCCTAATCCCCTAGGCCGGCTCCTTGAAGGGACTCTCGAGCCTCTGGTGCTGTTGAAGGTTGGGGTTTAGGGTTTAGGGTTTAGGGTTTAGGGTTTAGGGTTTAGGGTTTAGGGTTTAGGGTTTAGGGTTTAGCTTTAGGCTTTAGGCTTTAGGCTTTAGGGTTTAGGGTTTAGGGTTTAGGGTTTCGGGCTTATGGGCCCGGGGATGTGTTCTGCTGTTCCCGATGTGTGGGGGTTGCCGGAAATAGGGGACCCTAATATGGGACCCTAGATCGTAGGATCCTCATTATGGGGACCCCCAAAGAAGGTACCCGACGTGTCGCATATAATTGGAACCAACCCATTCAAACCTTTAGGGTTTCGTGTTTAGGGCCCCGAAAAGGGCCAAACTGCCCAATAATCATCCTAAACCCTAAACCCTAAACCCTAAACCCTAAACCCTAAACCCTAAACCATATATACTCAACAACGACTAAGCTACACGACCAGTTTACAAAAACCCAAAATACCTAACTTGTTGGGGCCTCCGGCCCCCTGGGTTTGAAAAAATCCACAAGGCCTAGTTTAGGGTTTCTGGTTCAGGGGTTTAGGGTCTAGGGTTTAGAGTTTAGGGTTCAGGGTTCAGGGTTTAGGGTTTAGGGTTTAGGGGTTTAGGGTTTAGGGGTTTAGGGGTTTAGGGCCCACTTTATCCCATCATCCAGCCAAGGCGCTGAATGTCAACTCCTCGAGGCCCGCCCTCAAGCGCGCTGATGGCTGGCTCGATGTTCACCAGCAAGGAGACCGCAATCTGCTTGCAGTCGGGACCTTGATCTAAACCACCCGAACACCACCACCTTGACGCCCCGAAGCCGAAAGAGTCCTAGGTACTGTTATTAAGAATGCTTCCGCTTCATCATAATTGTAATTCCTTAATATAGACACCCTGCATTCTACTAAGGTACTTCGGACCCTTTGCGAAGTTCTTGGCATTGCGATCAAGGCTCCAAGTCCCTCTACGACTAAAGTAATCGCATACATGCTTATGTAGTAACCACTATCCTGAACCCAAGTGCATAATCACAAAATGGGTCCTATGGAGCCTTGGGATTGATGAATTCCGCGAAAAAGATTGATGCCGGCATTCAATTTTCGGAAGTCGGGTCCTATGGCGACGTTTCAGATATACCCTTGCACTCCCGGAAGCCCCAAAACTTTCGAAATCCGAAAGCCCCAAACCCGAAATAAAACCCGAACATCTGGAGGCCCTGAACTCAAAGCACTAAACACCCTTCTTGTACAGTCAAAGACCCATATAGCCCATCTTCGGGCTTTGCCAAAGCGTGTTTAGCGCTTCGGGCTTAGGATTTTGCCTTCGGGGTTTACGGCTTAGGGCTTAAAGTGGAGGGTTCACGGTTCATGCATGCCTCACCTGACCTACTTGGTCTGAACATATATTCCGATCATACAGTTAGTCCGAAAGTCCCTACAACATAACAAGTCATGCTGTGGTAGCTGGAGGTACGGTAGGCGCCTGGGTCCTGACTAGGGTTCTTTCTATGAGCCCGCTTTTCGTTGGGTTGTAGGGCCGGGGCTTGTTGACCAGATTTCTACACTAGATCGCTGACGGCTTAATATAGTTCTTCTGGAGTAGTATCATTGTATCAAGAAGCCCTACGAAGCAATATTCGTAAACATTCACGCATTACAGCGTAAACCGCGTGAGAATCCCCCTCGAACCTCCATTGCAGAAGAGGCGGCCCATGCACTTCAAGTACAAGCTCAGCGGGGCCGAGTTCTCCAACTCCTTGGCGCAGAATCACCACAAGACACAAAATGAAAATAACAGTAGCAGTAGTAGAGTAGTAGTAG